TGGCTTCCTGTCTGCTTGCTCCTCACTTCCTGTCTGCTTGCTCCTCACTTCCTGTCTGCTTGCTCCTCACTTCCAGGTGAATCCCGAAGCCCTACCCACGCACCGCGGCCCATGGCTTCCGTCAGTCCCGATCTGTTTGATCCGCTGCCGGCAACCACCGCTGCCTCTAGGAAGACCCCCGAATCCTTCCTGGGCCCCAACGCCGCCTTGGTGAACCTGGACTCGCTGATCAGCAAGCCTCCACAGCTTGCATCAGTCTCCAACCCCTTCCTCGCCGCTGGTATGTCCCATGCTCCCAGATGAGTCCAACAACTGGTTTTTCAAGGTGGTGTTGTCGAGTCTATCGATCTGGATGGATTTGGATTTGTCCCGCCTCCCTGCAGGGTCGGCTCCTCCTCCTCCGGTGCAAGTCAACCCCTTCCAGGTGAACCAACCCCAGCCACCCACCCTCAACCAGATGAGAGTGAATCCCATGATGGGCCCCGGGGCCCAGGGTTTTGGTGGCCTGCCCCAGATGACCTCCGACCCACTGTCCCTGTCCTCCATGCCTCCTGGGGGCCCTATGGCCATGGTGCCCATGACGGGCATGGCAGCGATTGCACCCGTGGGCAGCGTCCAGCCCTCCATGGCCGTGCCCCAGCCGCTGCTGACCACGGGGCTGCTGCCATCGGGGGGCGCCCAAGCCGGCACGACCACCAACCCCTTCCTGTTGTGAGGAGCCGCCCCCTCGGCCCCCTGCCCCTGTCCGCCTCAGAGACATAGACGATACAGTCCTTCGTGTGTTCAGGCAGGTGCTGTTTTAATACAGTTCGCAGTCGCACTGGTTACCTAGCAGTGCGACCCACGGAGGTAGGTACCCAGCTGAGATTGGCGTGCTTCACCTCTGCCGTGCGTCTTAAGTGTGATACCCTGTCACCCTTAAAGTCTGCCGTAGCTCCTTGGCAAGACTGTATAGTATTTACAAGGGGTACCGAGCGTGCAAAATCTTTCGATCACTTTTATGAAAAAGCCTGAAAATTTAGTAATTCTGCTTCACTTTTATTTTTAGCCTAATAAAGTAATGTATTTACTAATGCTTTTTTTTTTTTTCTCCCCCAAAGTAACTTAAATGTTCTACATCAGTGCATATGCTGTGTGTGTATTCACAGTATGCATCGGTAGACACAAGCTAGAGAACCCCAATCAGTTTGTCATTCTTCGGATGCTCTGACCAGGGGTTTTGCACATGCTATAGTTACTTTTGCAATGTTTCTTTTTTTCCCCCCCCCCTGACTGTTGGTTCACCGTTAGTCCTTAGCTCAAGAAGCCAGCCAGTGCCGGGGGCGGGGGAGGGGGCGATAGTGGTCACCTAGGAGACGCATGTCCGCCTTCCTGCCTAGGACCCAGGTCTGGAGCCGTTGCATGCGGTCTTCACATGCAGCATAGCGAACTTTTACCGTGTAACTGAACCTTCTGGAAGCATCATGCAGATCCTGCCTTTCTTTTTTCCCCCTCTTTTTTTAATAAAACCACAGTGTGTATGTGTAGGATGTCCTCCATCCATACAATCTGGACATTTGTTAATGGGTTTAATGGTCGTTTAAATTCATTGATTGTCCAGCTCGCTCTGCAAGGTTTTCCAAATGACTGTTTTAACATAGACCTGACTGATCCTCGGGCTTAGAGTTAGGCCTCTCTCTTTTCACGCAGCCACACGTGTAATTTTTAGTACACATATCAGCCCCCCCCCCCCCCAGAAATCAATCCTGCCGAAAACAGATGCATTATCTTTTTAAAAGTTTTTAACTGCATAGATTTTAAATATACATTAGTACAGAAATGAGTATTCAGTCACTATGTACAGAAACTGGGAGGGTGGGGGGAGGGGGGTTATCTTGATCAAATGTGAAGGAGGTGGGTCAACTCCCCCCCCCCGTTAAGTGGTTTTGACGTTAATTCATGCTGACTGTTGAAGCATATGGGTATTTTTGTAATACCCCCCTCCCCCCAAACCACACAGGGACTTGCCCAGTCAACAGCAGTTGGCTCCGTTTGACATGTGATCAACCGGTTTTGTTTTTACAGGTCGTTTAATTTTAGTCTGGCAGGTTTGCGATAAAGGCGTTTTAGCAAGAAAATTGGGGGGGGGGGATTCCTCCAACCACAGAACAAATGTTTAAAAGAAAAGGAAAAAAAAAAAACAACACTGTGCTTTATCTTTTCACTCGTTAGGCAGTTAAATGTGGTGATGATCAACAGGAAAAACCAGACCTGGCAAATTGAACTGTGGAGCGTTCGGTCATGTGGAAGATTTGCTCGGTTTCTCCCTGCTGTGATGCTTCACATAAAGTAATGAGAAACAGCTACTTACAAGCACAATAAAACTGCAGCGTATCACTATGAAAAGACACTTACCAAAGTCACATCTCTGGCATTTTATTCCAAAGCAGGATGTAATGTTTCACTTTTCTTACTGATATGTAGACACTTCTTTACTTCTTGTAGGCCCTATGGTTTATTTTTCTCTCTCCTTGATCACTGCCGATTTTATCTTTTTCTACTTAATTTGCCGTTAGCACCCTCTGCTGGAACTGTCACAGTAGTGCAGTTTTGTACAGCTCTGTAGCAAATTGGTGGGTGTGTTCAGATCTTAGCTAGCTTACCTATCAAGACACGTACTCAGGCGTAAGGGAGGGGGGGGGGACAGCTTTAAGCTATGTTTATATACTTTAATCCGATAGATGTTGACGTGCTGAACAGGTTCTAACTTTATATTAAAAATGCTTATCCCTGCAGATGAGTATAATATGAATATGCAAAATTGGAAGTAAAAAAAAAAAAAAAAGCTAATGACATTTATCACATGTTGCAAATGTTTTGCAATGTCTATGAACTACATACAATATCTAGGTCAATTTGTCACTCTTGTTTGCATCTCATTCAGTGTGTTTTCCCATTGGTTTCTGTTACTATGTATTCATGCATTTATTGTTCAGGACTAACATTGTGAGCATATTCAAGTCTATTTTTCCATGTAATTGTCTGTATATTTACCAAACTGTTTCATATTACTGGGAGCAGGCTGCTTGTTATGGAAATGTGCTCAACTTGTTTGGCATTATAACTGTATAATTTATCATTTGTACTATTGTAACATATTTTTCTGTACCTTATTTCTTAATGTTTTTTTTTGTGTCTGTAGAGAAGTCACATGAGTAATGTGATGTTTTAACATCACCTAAATAGCAGCGACATGCTGAAATACCTCTAGCTGCGAAGGTAAAAATAAACTATCAGTCCGGCTTTTGCTTAGAGTCTCTGTGAATGCTGTCAGCGGTTTGACAGCCACTGGCATTTGGTGCCAGTGAAGAGCCCCCCCCCCACCCCCCCCTTTGCTTTCAAATTATCAATCTGTAGTGTGAATCTAAGGTCAATGCCGGAGAGACCTCTGGCTGTAATACTGACATTTGTTGGGCAGTAATGAGGGAAATGTGGGACCAATAGCTTACAGTACTTTATTATAAATATACAAATGTTATGGAAAAAATGACTATACAACTTGATCCTCTTCCCACAGCAAACCCTGCCCCCCCACAAGCTGGATCATGGGTAGGCTGGTCCTGTAGCACGGTGGTGTGGGGGGCCAGCATCATACATCTCTTGGGTGGCCGACGTCATAGCCTAGCTTCTTCATGTCCTTGGTGACGATGTTGAAGGAGAAGCTGACGGAGCCCTGGGAGTGTACCCTAGTGACTGGTACAGGGATGGAAAACCAATTGAAGTGAAAGCAAATCAGGGCTGACCTGAAACCTCAAAACCAACTAGAAACCAGTGGGTGTGTCCTGTATACAGTGGCCTGTTAGGATAGACTATAATGCCAATCGTGCAGGGAGCTGGCAGGGTGTGATTTTTATAGACGGTAACGAGCAAACCCCTGAGAGAGGTTGATTTGAATAAAATGATTCATATGAAATGAGTGTTACAGCTATATATTCACACACTACATTAAATAAGTGACAAGTATCTCTATTCAACAGATTGTCGCAGTAAATGACCTCATTCACGTCACACTGAAACAGTCCCTGTTAAACTTTTCATTGCAAAGTGTGATCACACGCTGTGAGAGTAGATCCTTTGGAGTGGAGCTGATGAATTATAACACCGGTGGTGATGGGAGGAATGTGGATTCAGAGCCCCTGATTGGCAGGCCAGTGAAAGTCAATAAACCAATAAGAAGTGGGTTAGACTGCATATAATTATGCACACTGAATTTTGTCCCATGCCCAACTACATGGGCTATCAACAGAGTATGTGAACAGTATATAAGGAGATGAGCATGCATACCTTCTCTTCCTTCACCCTGGGCTATAACCTTGGGATCTGTAAACTCTGGACGCCGTCCCATTAGCCAGCTAAAGAAGGGGGAAAGTAGTGTTTTGTGATGTGCAGCTTAAAACTAGAGTGGGAAAGGGCTTGGAATGTTGATGCCGTCAACAAAAATACAGATTTACATTTGCTCAGCTGGCTGTAGCCCTTGGCTTAAATGATGTCCTAAAGTAATTCCATACTAAAGCAAAACTACTCATCAGCATGCAGTTTTTAATATTTCAAAAAAAAAAAAAAAACCTGTATATTAGGGGTGGGCAATCTTATCCTGAAAGGGCCAGTGTGTGTGTAGGTTTTCGCTGCAAACTCCCTACTTGGATTACTAATTTGAGGACTGATTGGCTGAAGAGTCCTCACACCTGGGTTTGAACAGCTGCCCTAAAGGTTATCCCAAAAATCCTGCATACACACCGGCGTTTTGGGGATACGCTTCGCCACCCCTGGTGCATATATACACATACACAGCAAAGTTCAAACAGGATTTATACAGGTTAGTTACCTTGTGAATTTTTGTAGCCTGGAAGTAGATTCTGGAACAAACATGGGAATTGTTTTCACGTGTCTGATGAAAATAGTGATTTCAAAATTACCAAATTGCAGGCAGAATCGCATTTACTGAAGCAAACATTTCGGCCGTTGGGGATTTTTCTTGTTACTGGGCAGTGTCTACGGGGTAGTCTGAGGGGAGCTACAAGTGTCTGAGGAGGTGTACCTACTTGCCAGGAGTAACAGGGACGTGAACAGCCCCGTACCCTCGAACCACATCGTTCCCAAAGGTGTCGGGCCCGTACACGCTGACCACGATCTGGGGCCCTGCAGGAACAGCATCACAACACTCACAATCATGTAACTGCACCATCTGCTTAACACTACCCTTATAACAAGCACTATAATATACTTAATATGATACTTGAGCAGGGTTAATTCAATACTTGCTGGTTCAAGTTCACAGGTGAACAGTAAACTTTTGTTGATATGTTTCAGTAACAATATATGAAATATATGCAATTCATAGATGTTTCAAGAACACTTTTCTTGTCAGCATTTATCCATCATCTGGTGGTTTTCCCTCCCGAAGTGGGGTCCGGATGTGGTGCCAGTTCCAGTCAACAAGTTCTTCATAAACGTTTTGTGAACAGCATACAGGAAAGTGGAGCTCTCACAGCCAAATGGGTTGGTGCTCTTGAACGTGATCTCCACGGGGAAGTTCCACACCAGACCATGACGTGTGTCCCGGCCTCGGGAGGAGATCTGGGATATGCCTTCCTCCAACCCCTTCCAGTAAAAAAAAGGTAGGATATTAACCAGGCAAACTAAACCCAAATTCACTACCGGACATAAATAGGGTTAAATACAATGAACAACAAACCTACGGCTGGTGAGTGATAAGGACGACAAGGTTTACGTGCAAACAGGAACACATTTCATGCACTGTGCATTACAGGGCTGAAGTAAATAGTAACGGAAAAGCGGGAATGTTGTCATGCTAATGAACGGTGTTAGGGCATGTTAAGACCCTTTATGGTGCACGGCACGGAAATTCCCATTTCCGATGGCACTTAAAAAAAAAAATCAGGAGGGAGGCTTCGGAGAAGAGGCGCTTCTGGCATCAGCAAGCACAAAAAAGACAAGAGTAGAAGACGGTATGGCGTTGCAGTCAATCACTCACCGACGTGGGTGCCCAATCGTGTCCGTACACGAAACAGTACTTGCAGTAAAGCTCGTCATATTCGGGAAACTAAAATGTGAAAAACATTTACAAAGGATAGTTACTAGTTAAAATGGTTTGCACAAGGATTGATCTGCTAAGCAAAATGACCTGGATTACGCAGAAGTTCAGCGAACAAAACTAGTTAACTTCTTTTCTTCCAATAAATAGACGGCGTGACTGATGCGAAACGCATTTGTCGGTCTGCACTTTAATCTGCACAACGGGTCGAAATAATACCAATAATACGAATGTCGATGGAAATCTTATAGTTAACTAGGTAGAGTTGGCTACTTACATCTGCGCCTTCTATTTGCCCGTTTATCATCAGAAGAAACACAGATGGGTTACTGGTCGCCATTTTGGCGTTGCAGCATTTAGAAGTATTACAGCTACAATAATAATCCCACGGATACGATATAAACAAATGCTGAGCTCGTACTCGATAACGTTAGCTACGCAACGAGACCGTTGCTAACAACTATCGGATACAATTTATGGGTCTCCATTCGGGTCAAAAAGTACAGTGCGAAAAGCGTTTTGAAATTACAACTCCACCAGATGGCAGCAACCAACAATGCGAATGAAAGGCATCACCAATTGCGCATAAATTGTTTTATCGCTCGATAGACTTCTCCTACACTACATCAGGGAACCACTTACATATATTGTGCAAGGTCTGAGATTTACAGTTTTATTGAACTACGTACTACTTAAGGAAGTGCTTAGCTAGTCAACTAACATTTCTCCAGGTATATGAAAGCACAAATATCCATGCATTGGCATTGCTTATGTTTTTTATTCCATTAGATTGTATTGAATTATTTTATTCTCACTATATGCAGTACTCAGCAAGACGTCTATGGTGCTGTCAGAGAGGTAAATTCTTAGACTCTTCTACATTAGATGATATACTGGTTTGCTGGGGGGAGGGGGATATCTTTGACAGAATGAAGCCCCCCCCCCAGGCTTCCACTGACCTTTCTCAATCCCTTCACTGCTCCCCACCTGTTAGACACTCTCTTCCTAACCCAGGACACCCCAGGAAGGTGGCTTTGAAGTGGAAACAGTAAGAATAAAGCCAAGCTGTCAGAAAGTTTACAAAATGCATCTTGGTCAGTCCCTGCCTCCTCCTCTCAGCGCATCCTTAGTCTTAGCATTCAGCTGACGTCCTGATTCATGCCTACAGTAGATGCACCACCATAGAGCTGACTGTCAGTCCTATTTGTTTCTCATCCACGCGTCTCTCTGAATCACATCAGCACTCTTTCTCCCTCCCCTCTGTCAATTTCAGTGGTGTTTCTCTGGGTTACGGGTACAAATTTTCTTCACTCAGACGCACATGTCCGAATTTCTGCAAGGTCTCCAGTCTGAAATCCAACAGCTGTATGTCCCCTTTTTCACTCTTATGGAAATTTCTGGAATCTTCCGCTGGTTAGAATGCATAAATCTTTCAGTGCTGGATTTCTCTAGAGGTGGACCCACATGGTAAACTATTATTGGACTTTGTGCCAGTTCTGTGTCGCATTAAACTTGTCGTTGAATGTAAATATTATCTTCCCGAGTAGCACAACCAGCAAAATCGATAAACACAAGCAGAAATAAAGGTAAACATCAGTATAAACTAAGATACACACATATAATCCAGAAAAACAGGCACAGAATCATTAGGACTAATCCTGCTACTTTTATTATTTTTTTATGATTGTAGATTTTGCCAGCGATGAGCTGGTGTGATATTAAATATGAGCCAAATCTGTTGCCTCCTAAGATTAAACATCTGTTTACTGTGTCAATGATTACAGTGCTCTGCATAACTAATACTCGCCTGGCCGATGCTTAATATTTACTGGGTTTTCTAAACCATGGAGCTGGAGAAGCGGTTTCCTTTCTTGTGACCAGCTGTGGCGTGCACCCACGCCCTCTCCCTTCCCCTTCGCATTCCTCATGTGCTGCCGTTTCACACAGAAACATCTTGGTTGGCCACCAGCTGTTCACACCACAACAAATGGTGGTGAGGTGGTACTGCGTGGCGGCCGTGCCTGTGGCTGTTTGTCTTTTTTGGTGCAAGGTGTCACCTAGATCCTGCATCCCGAAGTGAGTCAGCCTGGATGACTGGAGTCCAGGATCTTCTCAGCCGCCGGCTGCCCAACTCTGACCACACAGAGCTGCATTCTTACACTTTATCACTGGGCAGCTGAACTAAAAAAGCTACGAGAATTATGGGAAGATGGCAATTACAGTTTATTTATTTAGCTGTTAAAGGAGGGTGCGTCCGTAGAGGACCAGTCCCTGGAGCAACTGGGAGTTAAGAGCCTGGCTCAAGAGTCCAGTGGTGACATCACTCTGTCGACTCTTTGAACTGGCGACCTTCCGATCACAGGGATGGCATCAGAACCCGCTGAGCAACACATCACCCCTCAGCCCGCCTGACTTAATCTTAAAGCTACTATCCGGTGCTAGTTTTACCTGAAAATTGTCAAGACAACAACGAAAGACCGCAATAAACATGAAAACAACTGTTCCAATGGTTAAGCCATACAAAAATAGCATTAAATTTAGTTTTCTTCATCACAGGGTGATGATCTGCATCTCCAAAGGGAATTTTGTTAAAAAGACAACAAAGAAACCATTTTCACTTTCCCAGCGACTTTTGCCCATTGATGTCTGTTTTTCTTTTGCTTGATAGTTGACCTCAACTTATTCCTGACGGCCCTCCACTGATCTATTTGCCCTCTTAAAACAGAAGTCTGACATTATACAATACAATATCTCTGCTTACGAATTCATCTTGTATGAGGGTACAGGATACAAAATAACCAGTATGAAAGTGTCATGACCATACTGACTGTGACATACATGAAAACCAATCACAGGAAAGGCAGCTTTATTCAGTGAAGATTCATGCCTCGCTGATCCAAATAAACAACTGAACCCAACCTTATTGGATTTGGGCAGAATTAATGAAACTCAAATGTCATAAGCATGCAGATATGATTGGGTTGGTCTGGAAAGGCAGCTCTTGGTGGGTCTACAAATGAGAAGCAGGACCCCAATTAAGTGCTTTTGCAGTCACGCCAGGTCACGATTCCATTACAGTACCACAGCGAGCAAAACAGAGGGATCTCATGGAAATGAATCTCTGTTCTGACGGCTTCCTCTGCTTAGCTGAATGGGCAGTAATTTATTAGGATACACGATCCTGGCTGTTTGACGGCCTCGCATCACGGTGCTATTAAGCTACATCCCCGTCACGCACGAGCATAAAGAAAACGGTAAATGAGGCTGCAGTGGTACTTTCAGATACTTCACCTTCCCTGAAAATGGGAAGGTCTGCTTTCTATGCGCCAGCTATCACAGGAAGCTCTGTGCGAATAAATGTTTCCATCTGGGACTCTAGGGAGTCAATTAGGTTTGTCTGCTTCTGTTACTGTAAAGCCTTCGATGGTGGAAACCAAAAGGCACCACTACTGAGGGATGGCGCTGGGTGTCCAGCTCTTTGAATGACTGGAACAGAAGAGCTTGGCTTCTGGCAAAGCCAGGGATGGGGCAGGCTGCTGGGCTCGTCCATCATCTCCAGTGTGATGCCCTCGATGCGAGGCACATCCCAGTGCACTGGACCAGAGTGGGGCCGTTAACCCAGAGGAAGTGAGGTAATCAAGAGATCTGGCTGTCGAGACTATGAATGAGTTGTGGAATTTGAGGAAAGAAACCCAGTCCTTTGGGTGTCTTGAGTCAAGCTTTGGTTGCTAGGTCCTCCTGATTTGAGTTTGATTAAGTTTTGGATATAATGCAGGAAATGTGTTTTTTCTGTTCCCATCAGTGCCGATTGGGATCCATCTTTTGAGGGGATGCCAACTTAGTGACTTAGACACTTTTCATGCTCCTTGTGGGGTCAGGGGGCTCTGGCACTGGGTCCCATCAAGGGTCTGATTTGAGCCAACCAACCGATTTCTGAGGATTCATGTGCTAAAGAAGCATTACTGTAAGAGTCATCAAATGAAATCCCTGAACATGCTGTAGGGCTGACAGAGGAGGTGGATAAGTTCTTCTCATCCATTTTTTGTATCGGTGGATGGTCATTTGTTCACAGTCCTCCATCCAGGTAATCAAAAAAAGAAGGATTTCCAAGGTCAAATGTATCAGGAGAGGGAAAAAAAACCTTAGTTAGGATGCTAGCTTAGCATCCATAGACTTCCGTCTGTGAAGATTTTCTATGCTGGTTGAGTGTCAGCATGTCAGCACTCCACCGGCAAATTTCATGAGCCGAAAAGCCACAGATACCCTGAAGGTATAAACAAAAGGTAAGGCAGAGCACGCTGAAGACGTAAGCAGGTTATACAACAAGCAGAAGCTCTCTCCAGAGTTTATATTTTGTCTTCTGTGCAGCGTTCACACCTTAGCTTGAAGACCACAAGCATGGGCAGTGACGGAGATGGGATCCCAACATCGACCTCTTATGTAAGGTGATCTCCCATGGGTTTTCTCATCGGTACTGTCTAAACGTATGTTTCACGTCGATCTGGGGAAAATGTATTGATCCATTATAAGCCAGTGTTCCTATAGATCAGGGGTCTCCATCTTTGGTTCAGGAGAGCTACTGTCCAGTAGACTTTCGATCCTACTTGGCTTCTGATGAGCCACACCTGTTCTCAGGTAAATACCAGGAACAGGTGTGGCTCTGCAGAAGCCAGGTAGAATACAAAACCTACTGGGTAGTAGCTCTCCAGGACTGGAGTTGAAGACCCCTGTTGTAGATTAACATGCCGGAGCAACTGAACCCTTTATAGGGCTACTGATTTCCCTAAGTGAGTCAAAACTGCGGTTGCCTCCATCTGTGAGTGCAGAGGGATGTGAGCGGTTTGATGAGTAGCTGGCAAATGAGATCACCCTCAGACCAGTCTTGGCCATCCACCGGTCATTGGCTTCATTAGATTGGTCACAGGAGGAAAGCTGGCATGGGTCAGGATGGAGACGAGGCATCTGGTGACCAGTCTAATATAATCAGTGCTCGCTAAAGGGTGGTGGATATTCAGAAATCTGAAGTGGAGCCCAGGGAAGTCGTGATGTCTGTGTTGGAGATTTTATCATGGATGATCTTGAGTACCCACAACTGGGATGATGAAGTCAGTCGAATCTGTTGGCAGGTGCAGAACTGTATCACGTTAGCGACAGGTCTAGCCTGAGTTTAGGATGGACATAGGGGATGCTGACGTCGTCCTTGGCAGGAAATGTTGACAAGGGGTGGGTGTACATGTTGGATCAAACCACATCATGGGTGATGAGTCTAGTTTTCCCCACGCTTGAGGTCTTGATAAAACGCATTCGCAAGCACAAGAGGTCGAGCTGCATCTTTCGCTCGCTCTTCCTGCCCTCATTTGTTCTGTTTTGTGATGATTCACTGCATGGTGCTTTCACTGCCTTGGCGACATGAGAGCGGCGTGTTTTCGTCTCAAGCACACACATCTTTACACTGCCGCAGGCACTGGAGCACGAGATCAGCTGCCT